ATATATACACATACATACATATATACATACATACATATGTACATACACATACATATACACATATACAAGAGAGACTTGTTATTCAGAAGTAAAACAGCTAAAATCAATTCAACCAATAAAACACATTAATACAAAATAAAACATATGGACAAAAGCACATTGAAACCAATTCAAACTAAAGCTACCCTAACTATAAAAGTAAAAAAAAAACCTCAGAATCAGGAGCAACTGTTGTTGGGTGTGATCTCCACTTCTTTCAGTAAAAGTTAAAATTTCTTAATGGTGACGAGACTGGACAGCATCTGAAGCAACATGCTGAGCATTCCTTGAAGAAATGCATATCGCCTGGTGACTTTCAGGCCTTTGTTTTAAAGTAAGATCATCTTACAAAGTGTAAAAACTATGGTTTTGGTAAAACCATAAAAACGTGATGTGTCATGCAAAATCACAAGGTGTCTTTTAATCWAATTGTGTTCAGAATGTGTGTTGGGGGGCTCTAAAAGTCAAGACTAAAATTTTAAAATCAATTCTGAATTTACTTCAAGTGGAGGAGTTCAAGTATCTCGGGGTCTTGTTCACGAGTGAGGGAAGAATGGAACGTGAGATTGATAGACGGATTGATGCAGCTTCCGCAGTTTTGTGGACTCTGTACCAGTCTGTTGTGGTGAAGTGAGAGCTGAGCTGTAAAGCAAAGCTCTCTGTTTACCAATCAGTCTACATTACTACCTACTTACTACCCTCACCTATGGTCACAAACTTTGGGTAGTGATCAAAAGAACAAGAGTGGATACAAGTGGTCAATATGAGTTTTCTCCGCAGGGTAGCTGGACTCTACCTTAGAGACAGGATGAGAAGTTCAGTTATCCGGGAGGGACTCAGAGTAGAGCCGCTGCTCCTCCACGCTGAGAGGAGCCAATTGAGGTGGTTTGGGCATCTAGTAAGGTTGCCTCTTGGTCGCCTCTCTAGGGAGGTGCTTCAGGCATGTTCAACTGGGAGGAGGCCCTGAGGAAAACCCAGGACACGCTGGAGAGACTATGTCTCTAGGCTGGCCTGGGAATGCCTTGGAGTCCTCCCAGAAGAGCTGGATGAGGTGGCTGGGGAAAGAGAGGTCTGGGCTTCCCTGCTCAACCTGCTGCCCCCGCGACCTGACATCGGATAAAGCGTGAGATAATGAATGGATGGATGAATTCTGAATTTGACAGGTAGCCGATGTAAAGTGGATAAAACTGGTGTGATGTGTGCCCTTCTGTTAATACCCATTAAAAAAAGCCCTGCTGCAGCGTTCTGTAGCAAACGAGTGAGTGCAGATTTGTTAAAACAAATGAGAAGAGAGTTACAATAATCTAAACGTGAAGAGATAAAAGCATAAATACTCATCTCTAAGTTTGATTTAGTTAACGGTTAGCTGTCAAGTTAGAAACTTTTTTTTTTCAAATGATAAAAACATTTCTAACCAAACATTGTAAATGGCTGTCCAGAGATACTGACTGGTCAAATAAAACACCAAGATTTCTGAGACTGGACTGGGAAGAGGAGCTCAGAGAGCTGGTGATGAACTTTCTGCTCAGGAGCACTAATCAGAGTTTCAGTCTTACTGGAATTAAATTGAAGAATCACCTTAGAGATGAAGTTTTTAGCTAGCCATTCCTTAATACAAGACTCACAGTTTAGTAAGTCAGCTAACTTGAATACCTCTGAATAATTGAACAAGCAGTACAAAGGTATCATCAGCGTAAAAGACACATTTATTAAGCTACTGATAATCTTACCCAGGGGGCTGGTGTACAGAAGCAACAATAATGGGCCAAGTACTGAGCCCTGTGGAACACCATGAAACAGAGGAGAGGCATCAGACATTATGTTATTATTGGAAACTTTCAACAAGGCAATCTCAGTAGAATGCATTTTATGGACCAGATTAAAACTTGTCCAAGATATTATTATTTTCCAGGAAAGTAGTCAACTACCCTGCCACTACCTTCTCCACAATTTTAGAAAGAAAAGTTAATTTTGATTTCACAACAAATTGTAGCTCAATGTATGTTAGATCAACAGGGTCAAAGTTGCTTTTGTTTTTGCTAAAAACATTTTGAATTAGGTCAACTCCACAAGTTAAAAGGTTTACGTATATCTGTTGATTACTTTACTCATTGTCCATCTTGTGGATAGATCAGAGGGTTGATTATGAGGACTGTGGTTCCACCCACAATAATAATTAAGCTTTCTGTGGACAAACACTTTTCACCCCATTTATATAAAAAAAATTACAAACCTTCTCAGACATGCCACAGACAATGTCAGGTTAATAACCTAATTGTTCAGTGTCAAGTATGAATGAATGAATAATAGTTTATTGATCCCATGAAGGGAAATTACAGTTAGGAACAACCTGTTCAAGAGAACAGGTGCAGCTGTGTCCAGCAGCTGTGCAAGGCCATACCCTCAAGTATCTCAAGAAGCAACATTGTTTCTTTAAGAATTTCTTCTGGTATTTGATCCCTGCAGTGACGTTAGGTTTGTCTCATCTACATTCAAGGAAAATGTTTTTATCATAGTGAACAAAAAGAGCAAACCATACAATTAACATAGACACCTGAGATTTTGAACGAGTTCAATTTTGCCAACATCGGAGGGATGACTTTGCAAAACACGTTTCAGAAAATGCATGTGAGAAAAGGAAACCACAAGGTTCTCATAAGCCAGCTCGTGTCAAATTACCTGTTTTTCATGAGCCTGAAACTTTCATTTGCACTTTTGGTTTTAGTACGAAAAAGTATCCAGTGTTCTGCCAAAACCCAGGTCACAATATCTATTTCCGTTTCTGAACTGCATGTAGAATTCTGAAAGTTATGTCTGATATGCTTTTTTGATGCATTTAAAAAAAGAAAAAAAGAGGTAAGACACATGGTCTGTGGCCTTTCACACAGTGCAGGTGTCAAAGTGGTAAAAAAATAAATAAAATAAAAACTAAGCTAACTTTGTGAACAGAAACCAGACAGTAGTCTTGCATCTTCTATGATCCAACAAACCAAACAACAGAAAACAAGCACATTTCTCACTTTGCCTCCGACCACTAGTCATCTCAGTTGTCATTTCCTGTGTGGAAAGCATTTATTCACTGTGTGGGGGTTCTTACTAAGTTTAGACTAAAGAGAGGCATGTCCGTTATATGCTGCAAGAAATGAGAAGAAACTGTTAACTTTTCTGAATATATACATCTACAAAAGTAGAGTCAGCGATAATTCACTCAGAAAAGAGATCAGACATCTGAAGGATCTTTATACAGGTAAAACAAAACTCCATGTTCAGTTCGCTGTAATCATGTTTAGAGATGATGTGTTTGTTTCTACGATTTCTACTGATGATTTAATTTAGTTTATACACCCCTGTTTAACTTGGATTGTTTGAAAAAAAGAGACCATGTGTTATAATCCGGTTGTGCAAACCCTTTTTGTGAATTATGCAATCTTTCATTTGGAAATTTGTCTTATCTGCACTCAATACTCAGTATGAATATTGATTACCAGCATCTATGATTTAAGTTAGAATAAAATTTTCTTTGTTTCAAGGTGGGATGATGAATTTATCAAGATATTTTGGCATCAATGGCACAGTGATGTGCTGCATCATCTGGATTTTCTGTCCAGCAGGTAGAAATGGCTTACTTTAAATGTGTGTGTATGTTTGTATAAGCTTTTTTAGACGGTCCACGCTTGTCTCATTCTAATGCATCTTTTTTTTTTTCAAATTTAGCTACAGATTGATCTGTCTTGAGCAAAAGTGAAAAACCACACATTTAAATTAACTTGAATCTCAGGCATTTCAGTGACATTAACCTTTACAGTGTAGTCAGTTTGTAAGTTTGCAGTTATTTACAAATATACAGAATATATCTGCACTGCTTTAGTTTGCCAAGACGTGTCTGCTTAAGTTTGCATGTGTCTCTGTCACTACTCAGCTCATCAGGTCAAGGCAAAAAAGAGACAAACTGTTTTATTTTAGCCTAGTTAAAACCAGCCCCATGTCATTTGCTTTGGAAGGAAACTAGAACTGAGCGGAACTGGCAAGGGCCAGGCTAAATTAAATTTGTTTTTTCTAGCTTAAAACCCAACTCAATTAAAGAATAATAAAAGTACCCAGCAAAAACAAGCTAAATCCCAGCCAGATTAAATGACTGGACTGCCTGCTATATAAAAAACAGCAAGGCCAGTCGGGCCAAATCAAAACCCAACAGAAATAACTGGACACCTTGCTATGGGGAGAACAAGAGCAGCCAGGTTTAAAAAGGCCCAGGTGTTCCCAGTCAGCAGCCAACTCCAGGCCACACCCATTTCACCTGGAGAACAAAAGAACAAACAATCCAAGTAATGACAGGAGTTGCAACACCCACCTCCAAAAGAAAAAGTCCCAAAGGAAACCCTACGAACAATTACTCAAGACAGAAATCTAGAAAAAAAAACATTAGGTTAGAGGGATAGGTTTTTTGTGCTCTTTATGTGTGTTTTCTCCTGTATTTGCAAATTTGTTTCCGATTGTGTTCTACTTTTTATCACCTATATGCAATGATTTATTGAAACTTTTTGAGTTGCAACAAACTTGCACTGGCACGAGATCAGAGGGGCTTTTAGCTCAGGCAGCAGGGAGATTTACGTAACATTTGAGCCAAGCAAACTGCTCGTTAGAACATAGCAGTACATTATTTTGCTAAAACAAGTAATTCATAAAAAAACATAGTGTTTGAAACAAGGACTCTGTTTCAGGAATTTTATAGACCTATAGTGATTTTTCTTACGKGCAGAATTTTGGTGTGGCTGAAATGACTACGTTAATGGGTTCATTCTCTGAAAGTAAACTCCACAAATATGCCTGTTTGATTAGCTGGTGATTCTTAATTGGTTTTGTGTGCATGCATTGTTGGGTGTGGTTTTGTGGTGAACTGACTTGTGCACCCATCTCACCCAGCTCCTTGTGACTTTAAACAGGCTCAATTTATATGCAGAAAAAGGATAGATGGATTTATGTGTCCCATTTGCTCCTGCCGGTTTCAAAGCTTTGCATTTGTAAAAATGCACAAAATGTTAAATGAATGCAAGTCTCACTTGAATCTTTTTTTTTTGCACAGAATCAAAAATGATCTCTAAGAAGGTCGGCGAAGACATGATGCTGACCTGCACAAATAAATCTGTGAGCCTGCTGCTGTGGCAACTAAATGGAGAAAATCTGTTCTCAGCAAATGATGCAAACAAAACCAAAACATCAGATATTTCTAAAAAACTCGACATAAAATTTTTAGATACAAAAAGCCAGCCATATGCCCTCATCATCAAGAACATCAAGAAGTCCCATGAAGGAAACTACTCCTGTGAGGTAACTGGTGATTTGGGAGTGTCTGGGGAGAGCTGGGAACTCATTGTCACAGGTGAGCAAAATCTTCACAACTTACCAATGATACAATAACAAAATGGAACAGGAATTAAACTGCACGTTTACAAAAAACAGCCAGCAATGATTTATGTTACTCTTTAGCTGCACACAGATACATCACAATTATCAAAGTACATTGTTCATTAAATCTTATTTAGTCTTTAAATACAGTTACTAAACAGTTCGTGGCTGAAGCAGCACTGGCACTGTCTTTGCATTTGCTTGTTGTATATTTAGTTGTATGATGGATTTCCTTTTCTAATGAACACAGACCGTATCAGGTTTCCTGTTTTGATGTGACAAAGTTGAAGAGTGTTTTAAGAAACACAGGACATGAGCACTGCTTCAGCTTCCACACACACTATCTAAAAACACACTGCATTTGTCTGCAGACTGATTTTGTAAGTACGATTTCAAAAAAGGTGGCACGAAACGTGGAACACAGGAAATGTTGAAATTGAGAAACTCTACCATTCTTAAGAAATAAACTAGACACTGCATAGCGGTAACATAATGACCCCTGCACGCACAAATGCATCGGAACTCAGAAGTCTTTATTCCTAATAAATGTCATGCTACTAGGTGCATCCTAAAATTGTAGTGGTTTGGGTGAGGGTCTTTTTTTGGGGGGGGGGGCACATTGGTTGACCTGATGGATAACGCCTCATCAGAGCTAAACAACCAACGAAAACCTGAATCTCCTATGTTTAATAGTTTTTGAGCTATAACCCTTTTTGTATGTCTAGATACCCCTTTTTCAGATAAATTGGGGGTCTGGGAGGTGGGGGGCACTGATTGGTGGGCCTGATGGATAGAGCTTCATCAGAGCTAAACAACAAAAGAAATCTGAAGCTCCTATGTTGAAGAGTTTCTGAGTTATAAACATTTTTGCATGTCCAGACACCCCCTCTTTGAAAGGAGCCTCCTCCTCAAATATGGGGTCTATGGTAAAACTGTTGGCTGGCACAGTGTAGGTCAGACTCATCTACAGTCCTGCCAAATTTCATGTTGATTGGTGCAGCCAATTTTGTGCTACGGTTGACCAAAACACTGAAAAAAAAACAGTATGAAAACAATATGACTCCCGCTTACGCTTCGGTGCGGGGGTCATAATAAATTAAGTTTGATGGCAGCGACACATCTAAAAAAAGACAAGATCAGAGACAACAACAGGCTATAAAAGTAAGCAGTACGAATAAACAGTTCAACTAGCACTTTCACATCCATAAGAAAACTGCAACTGGAGCCTTTTAGAGAGGCTGAAGAAGCRTGTAAAATGGATGGATGGATGAATACCTCAGAAATAAAGATGAACAGACTGAGTCTGAAAAACTGGAACAATTTTAGAACAGTGTTCTTCACCAACAGACATGTCATCATTTCAAAAGATTTACACATTTTGTATATAACTATGTTTTACCAGCACTTGGTCYAAAAATGGCCTCTCTGATGGTATGGGGGGTGCATTGGTGCCTCTGTAGCACAAGCATCTTCCACATTTAGAAAAGCAACATCAATGCAGATAACTAAGTCTGTATAGTTTTTACGTGCTCCCATTCAGACAAGACCRTTTCCAGGGAAGGCCTTGCATATTTCAGCAAGACAGTTGAAGARATTTAATGGGGTTTGTTTACTACTGGTTTTTAAAAGCACCACACATTCTGTAGTCYTTTCTYWGGTGAATAATGATYTCTTTATTGWGTGATTATCTTTGTGATTACGTTGGTGATTTTATGTACAGAMTGGTCTGAGTGGCTATCAAAGATGGTTACACAGAACCGGAGGTAAATATAGGTAAGATACATGCCTGAACACACTTTCAACACTTAACTGAACCATTGTTTTAACACTAGAACAGGAAAATTGTATGAGGACCTGATTTCAGCCGTAGGCTGGCCATTTTGATGACACAATGAAAATAGGCGGAGTCAGTTCCTGAAAAAAGATGATATAATGACGTTCCTCCCTGTAATGCTTTGCTGAACGCACACAGAGAAAGCATTAAACTTTCATTCCAGCCCGGGGCTGATGTGGTTGTGTAACTCACATTCAAACATTCTAATATTGGTGTATTTTCTATCTGGTTACGTATTACGGTAAACGAACATGCCATATTTTCTTTCACAAGTTGTTAAACCACACTGCATCCACTGCCACAGAAAGGCTTTGTAGCAGAAGAGTCTGAACGCTGCACTGGACCGCCTACAGTTCAGAACTCTCAACAATAGATAACATTTGACCTATGATGAAAATAAAAACCTAGCAAAGAAGAGCCAGGACTGTTGACCAGCTATATTCTACCTCAGACAAAACTTACATTCTCGGTGGAGCATATTAACATTTTACACAATGTTCTAAAGTTTTCAGAATTGGGGTTGTACATTTTACATCTTAGACTTTACAACAGCATTGCAACTGGATAAGTAACTCTCATTCTGTTTTCCTCCACAGGGGAAGCTGAAGGTTTCCTTCAACTACYGATTCTTGTTGCAGTTGGTGTTTTTTGTACATGTGTCCTGATAATAATATTGGCTTTGATTATTTTCAAATGTCAGCGGAAGTGGAGACAGTAAGTTTTATGCCACCACTTATTTTTCACAAAGTGATTCTGACAGCATGAAGTAAAATGAAATGTTACTCTTTTTTTTACAGACACAATATCCAACCTCCTGCTTCAATAAGGGTAAATATGATTATCTAGTCGGTTTTAACCTTTAAATTTTCTCTTAAGTGTTTAACTTGAATCAACATTTGTGTAACTGAGTAGGCAAGTCAAAAATAAGTAGAAAAAGCTACCATTTAGGTATAATATGTTTACTACAAAGGTCAGCTTTGTGCATTCGTGTCCTGCAAATAACTGTCATAACCTGAGGCTTTTTGTTTTGTACTTTTGTCATTAAATGTTCAATTCATTTGAGTCTTATTGTGTTTTCTTTTGTATGCATTTCATGTTTCTCCTGTGTCATTTACTTTGCATTGTCCCACTTCTCAACCCTGCTCATCTACTCACATCTGTTCCCTGTTTTCATTAGGYTCAGATTCATCCTTGTCTTCATTTCCCTCAGTGATTATTCCCCAGTTTCTCAATCACCAGTTAGTTCATCATTCTGGTCGTTTGTCTTTTCTTGTATGAGCACCTTGGGCTTTTGATTACAATAGTTTCTCCTCCTCAAGTCCTTGCATGAGTCAGCATCCTTGGGTCTCAACTTGCAAAAAATCCTGATGCACAACGTTTAGCCAACTGGATGTGCCTTTGGGGATGGAGTTTGTTGATGTTTTTCTGCTAGCATTCAAACTGAAATATTTATGCTCAAATAAGAGAAGCTTGAACAAAAGGTCTCCTCCAGAAATTGTTACACAGTGGTACTTATATTTGTTACAGGCAATTAAGAATTGCCCTCACACAGAAAAAAGCACCTTCAGGAACGTGAAGAGGCTGTTTTCGGCTTGTATAAAATCATAGAAGGTACAAAGAAAAAAATGGGGCTTAAAATAGCAAAGTTTTTTTTTGTCTCTTTCACCTGCTTAATTACTCATAGTACCATAAATATTGACCAACTTTTAGTAGACTGTGTATTCAGTAATTTATTATTTTTAATTTACCGCAGTTACTTTCAGCAGAAATACTAACGTCATTTTTGCTTTCTTTCCTTTCTTTCTCTTCAACAGCAGCAGCCAGAACAAGATATCTATGAAAACCACCTGGAAATTCAACGACAAGCTCAGGCTCACAAACTTAGACCTCAGTAATACCCGTCTGTACATTAAGTTCTGGACCGTTCGAGATGTGAAATGTTGGGGTGAACTACTGCTAAGTGCTCTACTGCCCAACTCAAATCACTTCGCTTAGAAAAAAAAACCTTTCTTCCAAGCAAAAAGAAAAAATCTTAATTTAGATGTGCTATTATTTTCACTGGTCCTGAGCAGGTTTCATGTGAAGGCTGAATAAAAAAGCATGACTAAAAGATCAAAATAACTTTTCGCTGTAAAATATTGTCATAATGGTCAGTCCAAAAATACCGAGGCTCCATTCGTCAGAAGAAGTTGTAAATATCCATTTGGTAAATTTATTTTTAAAAAGCCTCAGTTAAAGAACCACAAAAAGTTACAGATGATTGAAAAACAATACTTGTCTTGTTGAGTTGTGGAAGAAAATATAAATACTAAAGGCTCAAGTTGCTGTTGATGGTGCAATAAAAGCTTATTAAAAACACGGAGTACTTTTTGACTTGTATTTTGATCAAAGACAGGAGGCAGATTAGCTAAAGTGATGCTTCAGGTATTTTAAAAAGGGCTTCTCTAGAAATGCTATAAAAATGTTGTGTTGTGAATGGCACTTTAAACTCCTCATTTGGAGAGAAAAACCATTTTCCCAGATTGACAAGCAATTAGTCTGAGTGGAAACTCCCCACCAAACTAATTTCACGTAATGGTCTCAGCAAAAATGTGTTCCTTATTAAAGTGGTTCAGGTTGCACTACAACTGTCACAGTCAGCAGCTGCAGAAGAACTGTGCATGTGGATTTAACTGCAATATAAAGCAATTTCATGAATCACTATGAAATAACTGAAATTCACATTTTAAGACCGCAGCAAACCGCTCTAGCCTTTAGCTTCATCCCTAAGGTCAGAAATAAACTTCTCTGAAACCTGTACATATTTTCATAAACTGCTTTTTGAAAACTTTTCAAAAAAAGTGTGTGTGTGTGGGTGGGGGGGTGATCTACAGTAAAACAAAGCCCGTTTCATTGAATCTTCATTTTTCTTAAAAGTATTTCGCTGGAAACTATGGAGATGTAAATATTTTTGTACCATATTTTAATGTGCTTTATTGTGGAGCAAACAACTGTTTTAATTTAACTGAGGTGCAGCACAAGCTTTCCCCTTGTTTCAGTTTTTATTTTTGTCTAACACAGTTGTAACGGTGGTTAGTGCTGTTGCCTCACAACAATAAGGTTGTAGATTAGTCTCCTGGCCTTTTGTGCCAGTCGTGAAAGTTTGTTGACTTTGTAACTAATGCGTGAGTGAGATGGTTTGTCTCTTTGTGTGTTTGTAATGGACCGGTCCTCTCATTGTTTGAATTAAGAACCAGTTCCTCCTCAAACAAAGGAAAAGGCAGGTGAAAAAAAAATGCACGATTGGATATGCTGGAAAAATGTTTTTGATTTTTGTGATTTAACTCCTACTTTAAAAAAATATGTGGCTGCAAAACATTGTGACTAATAGCATTTCTTTTATTTTGGGAAAAGGAATAACTGTAGTGTTTTAAAATAAGAATTGGTGTCTTATGTACTTTTAAAATTACATTGGTTTGAATTATTCTGTGTCTGCACGAAGAAATTAAATGTAATCTACAGAAATGACGGCAGACAAGTTTAACAGTAAAAAGTTTTAATTTATGCAGGTGTAAAATAAAGGTCAATTAAGATCAAGATTACTTTAATTAGAACACATTCAAAACAATCACACATTAAACAAAGGCAAGAACAAACACAATGCATGGAGTACATGCTTAGCCAACGATTTGGCACTCATTAAGCTTTACTAAGCCTTGGCATACTGCAACAATCCAACAATGTTATGAAAAACTAATATGTAACGGACTTAAAAACTTATCAACTAACTTTTGTGGCATTAAGCTTTTTCCACTGCTWGTTTTGTTTCATAGCCATACTTTTCTATTTTGTAATACAGAAGTAAAACAATTCTCACCACAAGACTTTTTTCTTAAAGTACAAAAATCTTAAGGCATTTAGGAATCTGCAGCTACACACTTTATATAAAAGGATATTTCTACATATGATTAACTTGTTTAGCTGGTAGCTTTTCTGTTGAAGGAAATATTACTTATTGGATTGGAGCCTTGTTTTTTAATTCAAAATGTTCATAAAACTGTGAATATATTGACATCTCATTGAATGCAGCTTTTTTTTAAGCACGACAAAACAGTCTTCTAGGCTGTGATCAATATCTCCTCCCACATTGTAGTCGCCTCAGCTGTTTTGGTGCCCACAATGCCAGCTGATTCAGCCGAATGCACACTTTAGAAATGGTGGGCAGATTTGGACCAGTTTTGCAATAATTGTTATTGACAATTAGTGTGGTTTTCAGATCTGGACCAAACATCCAGTTGTAATGCTTTGATTTGGGTTGGATTTGCTCAAACAAAATAAAAATAAAAATCAAGGTTAAAAACAAGCTCAAAGTCAAGCAACACTGAAAACTTATTTGGAGTTTACCCTGGAAAAGCTGCTCATTCACTACATACCACCACCTTCTTTGTTGAGTGAGGAATAAAACACAGCCTTGATGTCCCATTTTGCTGTGATCAGTGATGCTTAAAATTACAGGGCCTCAGGTTAAAAAACAAACACTCCTTGTAAAGCAGCTTGGCAGCAAAGTCAAAATGTAGATTCCTTCTTTTGGTGTTAGTAACACTGCTAAATTCTAACCTTTGACAGATATACTGTTGGCGCAGCGTTCAGTCTTTACATTCATAACAGCAGTGAACAGTGACAGGAGACTTTACGTAATACAAATTTTACATAAAAGAAAACAAAAAGCAAATCCTCCAAATATAACACTTTTTCTAGTCTTCATTTTTTATCTTTTGCTGTGTAAAGACTGTCAGTTTACTGACTTAATGCTTTAAATATTTTTTATTTAACAACATATTTGTCATTTTTAAATACTGAGCATAAGTTAAAGTCTAAACAGTTTTAGTGAACCAGTATATATGGTATATGTTTTACTGCAATGCAGCAAATCACCTTTCTTTTTAAACATATGTCTACTGTATACACGCAGTTATATAAAACTAACTTACATAAGCACATTGATTAATGCTGGTGTAGTTTTTCAGTCATTCCGAAAATGGACTTGTATTTCAAGTACTTTTTACTTGTTTGGCAAATGGCTTCYTTCATTCCCCTCTCAAACTGCCTCTATTGTCCAATATAGAAATATTTTGGTCTTCAGAAGAGCCTCCTATCCCTAGGCTGCAACTACAAGTTGTGTGTGTGTGTGTGTGTGTGTGTGTGTGTGTGTGTGTGTGTGNAGCCTCCTATCCCTAGGCTGCAACTACAAGGTGTGTGTGTGTGTGTGTGTGTGTGTGTGTGTGTGTGTGTGTGTGTGTGTGTTATAAAGTAACAGACTGGAACAAACGAATGACAGTCAGAAACATCATGTGTAACTTAAAGAAATGTTCCCTTCACAAAAACACAATCTGTGAAAGCACAACCATTTAAACGCAGAAAAAAAAAAAATCGCAAATATGGAAAGTTATTAGAAATATTAACTCAGGTTTGATGCCACCTCATGCACATCATGTGTAAGCCCAGATGATACAAAGAAAAGTACTGTTTGAAGAATTTATTTTAAATACAGAACCACTGGTCTAATGAGAAAAAYGATCAGCATCATGTTAGATGTTAGAGATTTATCACTGACTAGTGTCTTTACAGCAACAGCTTGGTCCTTCAAAGCTTTAAAAATGATACAGCAGTATAAGAACTAAAAACTTTAAATGTTCTTAGATATTTATCTGGCAAAAGAACATCTTTTTTTTTTCCTTTTTAGAAAAATCTATTATGTTGTATTTCTCATTGCATGGAGCTGGTGCCCATATCCAGCAGTTAGTGTATGAGAGGGCGGTGTACATCCACCGCAGGACACAAACAACTTCCMATCCTACCTGCATCTAGGGACAATTTAGATTCACAAATTAACCAAAATACACGATGTTAGTCTGTGGGAGGAATCAGAAGAAGTCAGAAAAACCCACACATGCAGGGGGAGAACATGCAAACTGCAAACAGAAAGGTCAGGAGATTAGCTTCAAACAGTTTCACTGGTGTAAGAATTTAGACTATTTTAAATCACTACATCTTTTAAAACCTTAATGAGTGACACGTGTGGTTTGTTAAACAGTGGCTATTTTGAAATAAAGAAATGCAAAATCTTATAAAAAAACTAAGAGTATGAGATGAGGTCCTTTGAGCTGCAGTGTGCTGGAACCACACTGCCCTCACCTGTCAGACTGTCATGACTTWTTCACGTTTTCTGCTGTCGTAAATGATGATCTCTACTAAGGCATCTATGAGAAATTCAGTTCAGATTCAGAAATGGTGTCATCTTCACAGCTCCTTCACACTGGATTACCACCATGCTTGTACCATGACCTACACAAACTATTAGAGTATGACTAAACTGTTAGAACAATCATGGTACAGTACTACTACATTCTTACTACAAAATGCATTTGTCTTTCTATTTTGATTTTAAAGTAAAAATAGTTTAAAGAACTATAAAACCAATAATATAACTAATTCTTCACAACCAACATGTTAAATAAAAATGAAACAATTAACATCCATAACACGTGGCACTTAATGTTGTGCAACTTTTGATGTTTATAGGGGTAAAAATTTGGTTTAAACAGATTTAGCAATTGTTCAGTCGTTTGTAACCCAGCAGATAAAAATGAAAAGCAGCATTCYGCGGCTTTGCTTTGAATCAGCAGATTAAAGCATACAATCCCACACTGATGTAACATGAAGCCTTCGCTTGCTTTGAAAAAAAAAAAAAAAAAAATCACCTACTGGAAGACAAAATTTCTGACTCTTCCTTTGACGGCAAACCATCTCTGTTTTAGAATGATCACTGTTGTCTGAGTACACCACACAAACTAACGCACAAAGCCACAGTCTAAAATGAATGGACATGAGTGACAGAGACTTTGTTTCCMAACATGCCAATGGTGCTGGTCTTGTTGCTTCATAGCTGTCAAGACAATTCACACAGATTAGTCTTAAACTATATTGGACTGGTAATATATTTAAAAATACACATTAAAAACAAAAACAAACAGCTGCTGAACTAAAACAACACAAAAATTAAAGCCCCCTGACATACTATAATGTTTTGGGAAAAAATACCCAAGGGCCCTGTCACACTGACATTTTARGCCWCATCTGCAAATCTTGTCCAAAACACTGGCGCACGCTGAGGAGGAGGGAAAAAAGCATCRATTAGCAACTTCTTTTGGATGTGATCATWYCGTGYTGCTAACAACTTAAAGAAATATAAAAMCTATGAGTAAATTACCTTAAACGTAACATGGACAAGCTTATTGTTTGACATTGGTAGAACCCCTGCAGAACTTGTTTACAGCATGATGCAACATCAGCAGCAAGTCACACAGCGACGCACAGCATCAACTTATGAAAAAATCTACAACATGTTGATGGAAGTTAGGTGTAATTTTAGGATAATTTGCCAACACGTTAGTATAAGAGGGCACACATCGTTATACGGAGATGCCAGTGCAGAATTTTTAACATGCTCAAAATTTTCACTGTATGCAGAACTGTTTCTGATCAAATTCAGCATGTCGGCATAAGCCGGAAATTTTGAGCATGTCCAAAATTACTGTCTGGTCATCGTGCTGACAATATACTCACAAATAACACCTAACTTGTGATACTTACAGCAACGTGTTGGACAAAATTTGCATAAGTTATCTAAAACGTCATAGTGTGACAGGGTCTTTAGGTTAAAAAATAAATAAAAAATGGACTAAGAGCACTGAATTGTTTAAATAGATGTAACAAGTTTGGTTCTACTTGTATAAAATTACAAAATTAATATTTTATTTTAAATGAGGTCATTAAAAGAGACATATCATACTTTTTTCCACATTTAAATCATTCAGTTGGGGTCTTTATTTAGTGGAACTGCAAYATTTTGGTYTAAATTCCACCTTATCGTAACTCCACAAGCCCCTCTTTCACTCCTTTTCTGAAGTATGTCTCAGATCAACTCGGTTTGTGGTTGTCTCCCTAAATCCAAACTAGGTGCTAAACCCCACCCCCTCTAGCTTCCAGAGCAGTCCCTTCTAGTTTGAGAGGGGTTTGACTGTATAGCAGTGCAGAAACTCTTTATTTACAAATGAAAGATGTCAACAACACAAGACTTGTCCATCCAGCCTTACACGTTGGAGCAAGAGTAAGACGGGAATGAMGACTACAAAATTCAACCCCTGGCAAAAAGTRTGGAATCACCAGTCTTGGATGAGCACTCATTCAGACATTTCATTCTATAAAACAAACTCAGATTAAAAACATGATACAATAATAAGGTCATTCCAAAGTGCAACTTGTTRGCTTTCAGGAACACTCAAAGAAATGAAGAGAAAAGAACTAAACAGATGAAGCATAAATGGGAGGAAGCTGGAGCCAATGTATGTGACCGAACCGTAAGAAATCACCTAAAGGAAATGGGATTTCAATACAGGAAAACTAAAAGAAAACCATCATTGACACCTAAACAAAAAAGAACAAGACTGCAATGGGCTAAGGAGAGGCAATCATGGACTGTGGATGACTGTATGAAGGTTATCTTCAGTGATGAGTCAAGAATCTGCAGTGGACAAGGTGATGATCCTGGAACTTTTGCTTGGTGCTGGTGCTGTTCCAGTGAGATTTATGAAGAGGACTGCCTGAAGAAAACAACCAAATTTCCACAATCCTTGATGATATGGGGCTGCATGTCAGGCAAAGGCACTGCGGAGATGACTGTGGTTCATTCTTCTATCAATGCACAAGTTTAMATTTTGAACAGTTTTCTCATCCCTTCAATTGAACAGATGTTYGGASGTGATGAAATAATTTTCCAAGATGACAATGCATCGTGCCATAGGGCAAAAACAGTGAAGGTATTCCTTGGAGAAAGACACATCCAGTCAATGTCATGGCCTGCAAATAGTCCAGATCTCAACCCAATTGAAAACCTGTGGTGGAAATTGAAAAAAATGGTCCACGAGAAGG